AGTCGTGACAGGTGAGAAACAACAGAGCCCAGGTGAGAAAAGAACCCCCTGAGGGGCCAGCAGAGACCCAGGAAGGCCCAAGTAGATGTTAATGTCCTGAGAAAATGGTAGGGAATCAAGTGTTTTTAAAAATTATATTATTTCAGCCAGGCATGGTGGCACATACCTGTAACCCCATTTTTCTGGGAGGCTGAGGCAGGAGGATCACAGGTGGAGGCAGGAGGATCATAAGTTCAAGCCCACGCTGGCCAACCTGGTGATTTACTGGGACTTTGTCTTAAAATGAAAAATAAAAGTGTTGGGGATGTAGCTCATGTGAAGGCCCTGGGTTCAATCCCCAGTACAAAAAAAAGTTATTTTTGTACTCTAGGCCCAGGAGACAAATGCTTACTATTCTCACTCATATGTGGAAGCGGAAAAAACTGATCTCATAGAAGGTGAGGGTAGAATATTGGTCAATAACAAGTGGGAAAAGGGATAAAGAAGAGTTAGATAATGAGACCAAAATATAGTTAGGTAGGAGGTCTATGTTCTGTTGTTCTAAAACAAATAGGATGACTATAATTTACAATTTCAGTGTATATTTTATAAAGAACCAAAGAGAGGGGTTAAAAAGCTTCCAAAGAAATGATAAATACTTAAAGAGACAGAAATGCTAATTACCCTAATTTGATCATTGCTCACCATATTCATGTCTTAAATGATCACATTGTACCCATAAATATGTAGTTATTGTATATTGATTAAAAATAAAAAATTAGCACTATTTTTAATTGACAAATCACAGCTGTATATATTTAGAGTAACGCGGACAACACTGAGAAAAGCGGGTAAGAAGGCAGTCTCCCACTTCAGCGTTTTTCTCTGCTCTTGAGTTTTGTGTCTGATAGGTTTCTGCATTTATCTGTCAGATTTGGCATCTATTTTGTGGCTCCCCTGGGATGTTCTGGGTATCAAGTATATGGGGCCATGCAGCAGCCCTAGGCCAGTTCCTGCAAGATGGAATTGGTATTTGAAATAAAGAGGTCATGTATGCTTTTCTCTAGGCTTGGGGGTCAGCATTTTTTTTTTTCAAATAGTTAAAGAGTAAATATTTTCAGCTTCTCAGCTGACACAATCTGTGTCCCAAGAATTCAACTCAGCCATTGTAGACTGAAAGCACCTGTAGATAATACATAATGAAAAGACATGGTTGTGTGCTACTAAAACTTAATTTGCAAAACTAGGGAGTGGGCCAGATTTGACCTGCACGCTACTTTGTCAACTCCTGCCCTGTGTGGTTTTCCTTAGGTATCTGCAGGGAGTGGCTCCAGGAACCTCGAGAGATACCAAAATCTTAGATACTCGATTCTTTTATGTAAAGTGACGTAATATTTGCATAGGATATATGTGCATCCTCTTGGGTACTTTAAATCCTGCCTAGAATACTGTAACACCTAATATAATGTAAATGTTATCTCTGTAGCTGTTATGCTACATTGATGAGGAAATAACTAGAGAAAAAACCTACACATACAATTCTTTTTTGGTGCTAGGAATTGAACTTATGGATTTGCACGTGCTAAGCACACACTTTACTTGAATAGTTCTGATCAGAGATTGGCTGATTTCATGGATGCAGAATGGCAGATATGGGGGAAATACTATACCATGTAGATTTTTTTTTTTTTTTGAGACAGGGTCTCACTATGTAGTTGAGACTGACCTGGAACTCACTATGTAGCTCAGGCTGGTCTTGAACTCACAGCGATCCTCCTGCCTCACCCTCCTGAGTGCTGGGATTACAGGCATGTACCACCCTGCCCGGCTACCATCTAGATTCTGTAAGGAAGAGAAAGGAAAGACAAAACTCCAGGCTATAGTGTGTACCTGTCTAGTTTAGTTAAACACTCCCTCTTGGGATCCATGGATAACTTCATGCTGCCACTTGGTGACTGAGAATATAGGATCCCAGAGGTGAACAAGGGATTTTCCATTTTCAGTGTATTCTGTGGCTCTGTGTTCATGGTTTTTCATAGACACGAGAAGCAGCATTGTGGAGTCAAGCAACCTGCCCATTTGTTCATTTGGAGCAAAAGCCTAACTGTAGAAAGGCAGCTGCTCAGCCAGTGGCTTTACACACAGACACACACGCATACACACACATGCATATCCAAGAACCCACCTAATGGTGGAACTGAGACCAAGAGACTCCTAGCCTTTACTTGGATGAATTCAGGTACTGGGGGTGAAGCTGAGGGTGAGGAGAGGCATGGGGGAAGGGCTGTGATTTCTCAGAAAGTAGCTAGGATAGCCAAATTCTCCTTATAGATGTGTCAATCTCAGGCAATCCAAAAAAGCATATAGTCCAGCACAGGGTACAATATTGACCATCTTTCTTTGGTTTGGAGGGCTTTTTTTTTAAGAGTCAGGTGAATCTGGTGTTTTGGTCAGGACTCAGTACATTCAAAAGGAACTGAAGAGTTTAGGATAAGGATTTCTTTCCTTTCCTCTTTGCCACACTGAGGATTGAATGCAGGGCCTTTGCACTGAGCTACATTTGCACCCCTCCTTTTAATTTTTAGTTTGGAGACAGCATCTTGCTAAACAGCTAATTTGCCAAGGGTGGGCTCAAATTGGCAGTCCTTGTGCCTCAGCCTGCTAGAGTGGTGGATTACAAATGTGCACCATCACTTTACAAGGATAAGAGCTTCAAAAGAAGTCAACAAAGTGGTTGTAGCACTTGGCGCCACCATCTGGGAGGAGCTGTTACCATTTCTAGGATTGAAAAGGTAGGGGAAGGACTCAGAGAGTCCTGGTTGTAGCAGAAAACTGTCCCACAGGAGGGAGACGTGGTCATAAGCAGAGGAACAGAGCTGCTGTCACACAGGGAATCTGTTTTCTGGCCACCATTCTTCACTGGCCAGACTGAAGAAGATGCCAGTGAGGAGGCTGAGGGTCAGCCCAGAAAAGGGTGAACAGGATGCCAGTACACCAGGCACAGGGATGCAGGGAGGTCCATGCAGGCCTTGCTTCTCTTCCTAGGCAGGAAGGCCCAGAGTCTAAAGCTCATGACAATTTCAGAGACCAAAGGAAGCATTTTAATTTCTTTTAAAATTAAAAAAACAAGTTAAATTTTTGGATCAAAGAAAATGCTTTAAAATGTGCTATCAGTAGACTCATTCTTTAAGTTGGAGTAAAATGTACATAACATAAAAGCAAACATTGCGTTCAGAGGCATTTAATACTTTCTCAGTGCTACACAGCTGTCACTTCTACGTAGTTCTAAGGTAACACACAGAGGGTCCTTGACTTGTGAGGGGGCAATGTCTGGATGAGTCCATTGTAAACTGAAAATTTTCTAAGTCAAAATGCATTAAAAAGTTGGGGGTGTAGCTCAGTGTTAAGCATCTGTCTGCTCTGGGCAAGGCTCTGGGTTCCGTCCCAAGCCCCCCGGGGGGAAAAAAAAAGTATTGAATCAGCCTCCAAACACCACAGCTGAGCAACACAATCCCCAGTAGAGTTTCAGCATTTCTCCTCATGATCAAGGCACAGACTGGGAGCTCTAGCTTGCTGCTGCCACCAAATAACACCAGAAAGTATTATAGTGCTTATAGTTAGCCCAGGGAAAGATCAAAATTCAAAATTCAAAGCATAGTTTCTACCAAATGTGTATCAGTTTTTGTACCCCTGCAAAATCAAAACCTGGTAAATCAGGACTGTATATATTTATTTCTATACCAATGCAGTTGTAAAGTATAATTTTAATATACTTTTTTTTTTTTAAACAGAGGAAGGGATCCAGGAAGGGAAAAGTTCTCAGGTTCACAGAAGTCACAATTTATAAGCTTCATCTCCCCATAATGTGAGGTGTTTAGAGAAAAAAAGAGATGAGCAGGTTTTTATTTTTATGTGTATTTAACTGAATATTGATGAAAAAATATAAGCCAGGCAGAGTGGCACATTGCTGAATCTCAGTACTCCACTGAGCCCAAAGGTTTGCAAATCGAGCCCAGCCTGGGCAACTTAGCTGCTTAGCAAGACCTTGTCTAAAAAAAAAAAA